TTCGTCTGGCCGTTTTTACTGCCTCCCATGGCAGATATAACACCATCGGAATCTGCTTTATATGCACCAGGAACTCACAGTTACGTTTTATGCAGCTAGGGAGTTTATTGGGATGATGCTGCTTGGCTGCGTTTTGGAGCGCAGTGTGATGACATAAATTCTTGAGGCTTATCTTGTGTAAATTCTTTCTTATCCAGTATATTTGTATCCAACTACGTCCTAAAGGAAGTTGTAATATACAAAACCAGAAAAAACTACACCTCTCTACAATACGTCACATTGTGTTTTCAGGATAATGTTCCATTGTTACACTCGCTGTTAATCTATTAGCTATCTGGGTACTCCAATTTTCTACCGAATTTCACTTAACTATTTTTTTTATGCAAGTGAAGACATAGTGGTCAACGGCTTTGGAATTAACATTCTGTGCTATGCAGATGGCACGATGCTACTCTTAGACAAAGGTAAATATTTATAAACGGTCAATGATCGTGTAGTCAGCACTAACAAGTATTATTTGATTGCTATAAAGATCAAAATAATGATAATCTTCAAGAATAACGTGAACGCACAATTCTTTGCAGAACATACCCCACTACCAAAAGTACAACTCTCAATCAACTACCTTGTCGGTCAGCTGAATGAGAAATGTGACTACTCTGAATAAGTTAAAATACAGGTTAAAAATCCACGAGGTTCATTCTACCGAATGAAAAAGGTTCTTTGAAATCTATCCTCACTTTACAACTTCGAAAGCATTTATTGTGATGTCACGTGTTCTTTATATTTTATTAAGGTGTTGACGCATGCACGCTAACAGACGATACCAGGAAGAGGTTCCAACCTTTTGAACTCTGGCGGTAATTACGTTTGTTACGAATACAGTACATTTATCACAAATGGTATGCATAAAGATAAGGAACTGCTCGACACAGTTAAAATAAGAAAGAAGTCTTATTTTGAATATATACCTAAATGGTAAAAATATAGGATCCTTAGATAAGGATTTAGTGTTCCATCTTTACAAAATCTAAGTTTGTCAACAACTGTTGCCAGGGGATTATACACAACGTGTTAATTTAGCACAGCTCATGATTGAACACTTGGATAACAATGACATGACGTTGTTTATGAGTAATGAAGCACATCGTCGACTTGAAGGAGGAAATAAGAAGAGAAGCAACCCAAATCCCTGCACGGATGCTGGCCGATGCAATGGGCTCATTTCTGGAGAGGCTTGATTCCTACATTTCGGCTCAAGGGCGCCATATGGCCGACATAGTTTTTAGAATGTAAATTCAATCAAAAAAATTGTATGTATTTCTGAGTATTTTGATATAATGCATAAAATATTTTCCCATACTTATTTTGACTGTAGTACTCATTTAAAAAACATGCGTTCTTTCTGACATACCCTGTATATCGTCGCCTTCCACACATAGTGTCGTAAGTGGCATTTTAGTGATTTTACAGTAGAGCGAAGAAACGAAAATGGGTGTAACGTTTCTTGGTAATACCGAAAAACTATTTGAGGAGACTTTTTCATTTTAATACAATGAATAGAATGCTTTTCAAGTAAATCAATTTTGTGTGCAAGTGGTTGAAAAAGTTTTGAGTTTTCCAGATTTCTGAAAAAGTTGTCACTTACGGCAGTTTGTGTGACTTTTTTCTTTCTACTTCCTACAGATAGGTCAGTGAGCAATAAAAAACTTAGTTAATTAGTTAATTAGATGATATATTTTTTTAAACAATATAAGAATCAACCAGCAGATACATAAAATTATACACAGTGACTAAGACACAAGAAAACTGTTTTTCAAATACAAACAAATGTTAATTTTTTTTAAACAGTAAAAGAATAAACCAGAACACTTAAAAGTATAATACATGGAAACTAAAGCAAGAAATGCAGTTATTCAAATGCAAACTAATTTTCATGTGGCAGATTGTAGTAAATGTTTTGGAAATCGCTAAGTTTTATAACAGGACTATCCCCTTGAATAGTTCCCGAGCTAGCTTTCTCAGGTTAATGGGTAGGAAGACGTTGTTACTGCGATATCACTTTATTTGCTAAGGTAGAGGCCGATTTACAACTGATAGTGTACAATTCAAAAAAATAAAACAACGTTCAAAACAAAGTTCGTACGTCCGTCGGGCTGAGCGACGATATATACTAAGTGACAAATAAATCCGAACACCCAGTTTAAATGGTTTTATTTTAATAAAATTTTGTATAAGTACTTAATGAAGAATAATAAGCAAGTGATAAAAATTTCAAAATGATTGCACTGCTTTAAAGCCCTTTGACCTTTAATAATGTGTGGATACACCCTGATGTGCTACGCATTCTCCAACGCGCCTAGGCATGCTTCTGATCAGGTGGTCAATGTCCTCCTGTGGTATCTCATTCCAGGCAACCACCAACTCCTCTCGAAGTGCTTCTAGAGTCTGAGGAGGACGTTGCAAATTGAGCAATCTCGTACCCATCATATCCCACACGTGCTCAATTGGGGATAAGTCGGGAGATCTTGGTGGCCATGGTAACAATGTGAAAACATTATGTTGAAAGAAGTCTATTGTGACTCTTGAAACATGTGGTCGGGCATTATCTTGTTGGAAAGTTGGATCTGCCAGGGTGTCAAGATAGGGTAAAAGATGGGGTTCTAGAACTTCGTGAATATAACGCCGCGCGTTCATGTTACCTCTGATGAAGATTAAAGGTGACCTGGAACCATAAGCTATAGCACCCCAAACCATAACTCCAACAGTGTGATGAACATGTCTTTCAACAAAAAACTGTGGATTCCTCCTTTCACCACGTCGCCTTCTAACCCTGGCACGACCATCGTGCATGCCTAAACAAAATGGAGACTCGTCACTAAAGACAATACTGTTCCATTCCTGATTCCAGAGTGACCGTTGTCTGCACCACTCAAGGCGATTACGTCGGTGTTCTCGAGTTAAAGGGAGGACCCAGTGTGGCCGGTATGAAAACAAGCCAAAACTTCTCATTCGTCGGTAAACAATTCGCATGCCAATAGGTCTTCCGTGTTCTGCAAACCATTCATTTGCAATGGACCTGGTAGTGGAGAAACGGTCGCTTAAGGCCAATAATCTTAGGCGGCGATCTTCACGGTCTGTTGTTCTACGGCGGCGTCCAGTGCCCCTTGCTCTTTGCGTACGGCCTTCTCGAAGCCATGCCTGACAACACCTAACCACAGTGTCTACACTTCTTTGCACTCTAACTGCAATTGCCCGAAAAGAAAGTCCAGCTTCCCGAAGTCTCACTATACGGCCCCTATCAAACTCACTAAGTTGACGAAATCGTACAGGTCTCCGAACTCTAGGCATCGTAACCGATCGTAAAGGATGTCAAGAACCAAAATCCGCCAACGTTGATTCTTTACTGCGGCTGAAATAATCATTTTTAGAGCGTTAGTGAATTAAAAAAAAGCAGTATAAAAACCCGAATGTCCAACTGATAAGGCTGAAAATTTTTTCACTTGTTATTTACAGTAAGATAAATACATTCACCAACTTTTATTAAAATAAAACCATTTAAACTGGGTGTTCGGATTTATATGTCACTTAGTATACATACTGCTCCTTAGTGGTGTTGAAAGAGTAATCATACGAAACTCGAGTACTCGTTATTCATAGATACCCGAAGTAGCGAGTACCAATCCGAGCACGAAATGATTACTTTGATTACTCTGTTTTCCGTATCCCTACCCGGTACCTGTACAATCGTTGATCGTTGAGTGGTAACGCTGGTTAGACTGTACCACTACCGCTCATGCACCAGGGTTGCCAGACATCCCACATTCAGATGGAAACCTGGAAACTCATTTTTTTTATTGACGGACATCTGGTAATTGTTTTTAAATCTGAACTTTACCTATTTACATCGTGACACAAATTCGCTTTTATTGTTGTGATCTTGGAAACCTGAAAAGGAATAAGTAGTCGATTGGATCGGATCAAAGTTCGGCAGTATTATGAGGCAGAAAAGCGACAACAAGGTAACACCACCGTTCAGGAAAACCACAATAATAAAAGTTATGTCAATTTGACTCGTGTTTCCATGCACTGTTTTGCTAAAAAAATTATAATTCAGTATGACCACAAATAGGATGTGTAGACCAAGCTCAACGTAGAATTTTTAGACTGGTATATTATACTTAATTGAAATGCTTCGCTAAGTCACATGCCATTTCGAATTTCCTTAAGCTTATATACAGATCATCTTTCTGACTAAAAGACATGTTTTTAAGTATTTCTAGTAAATACAAAGTATTTTCAGTTTGTAGGCTCATATGAGTAATATGACACTCCATCCTATGATAACTCATCTCGATAAGCATACAGTCTGAAGATACAATGTTTGCATTAAACACGATAGTCTTGAATAAACTATGCTTATAACATTTTGCAAATTTTAAGGTCGTCTATTTTCTTACAAGATTCGGTTCCATTCAACTTGTTTAAATTCGACATTAATCACACGACGCACATTGCCAAATCGTTATACTCATACTACTCATAGTAATCAAAGTAGCGAATACAATAAACGATTACTTTGTAGAAGAGTAACGCTTAGTAACGAGTACTCGAAAGTAACGATAACCAACACCACTACTACTCCTGCCGAAGCTCATGTCCATCTCCCCCGCGCAACTCCTCCTCAACGTTTTACCTTAGTACCTGCCTTCCGTCGCACTTTGCAGTCTGACACGCACTCACAGATGGTCGCGCTGTTGCCGAACCTCTTCACCCTTTACAGAGCGAAGTAAGATCATCGAATTTTTTCTTCGCTATCTTCCGTGGAGCACTGTTTAAATTATCAACCGCAATATTACCTACTTTACCCTTCAATCGTTGTAGTTCGATAAAGTCATACTTTGAGTCAAAGTGGCTATACTTAAATACTTAAAAATATTTTCTGAGGTTTTTTTTGTCCACCATTAATCCCATAACATCAGTCCAATTTAAGTTTTTACCTTCATTGCTTGTGCGAACTGTCAAAATTCGTAATAGTTTTGACAAACTTTTAAAATCCAGAAAGTCTGACCAGCCCATCGGAATGACTTTGTATGGATTTTTTCGTCTGGCTAATTCGATTATAGCGTAAACTTGGCTGGAAATGAAAATATCACCAACTTGTGCTATGCACTGAATCTCCATCACTTTGTCCATGATTGGTCTCAAAAAAAAAACGTAGAGATGTTTTCGGTTCCCTTGATTTTCTGAACTGCATACAACATCATGGCAGCCATAATCGAGTTCTTGTTCTTGCCAAAACATCCTTCTGAATATAGAACTACAGATTTTACACCTTTAGCTGGGTAGTACTTGATGCTTTTGAACACACAACTAGATATTACATATACGCCACTTTATGTGATTCGATACTGCACCAATAATTATTTCTCACAAACTGTCGTAAATCAAGTTACGTCGTTTAGTGTGATTTAAAAACGAAATTTTGTTAGATACACCACTAATCTTATTTGCTATTGCTCATAGAATTACGTCACTTTGTGGGAACTTGCAGCAGTTCAAAGTAAGTTTTGGGGCGGCGTAACTCAATTTTTGGATTTTTGTTAGCTACGACACTATGCGTGGAAGGCGACGATATGTAAAAGTATAACTTAGCAGTTTATTTGACTTGAATGCTATTTTGAACTAACAGATTCGATCAGTATCGTATAATTGCGCTTTTTAACCCTGAAAATGGCTCAAAGTGAAAACGTTCATCGTACTTATGAAGCTTTTCACTTACATATCTCGGGACATATCTCTCTCTTCTTTCGTAAACTATAACTCATGCCATGATCAATGTGCAGATATTTCCTAATAAGGAAACTGCTTCAACATTTGATTTCAACTCACTAATTTTATATTCGAACACGATCGCAACACTTCAGATCTGTATTAAACACCCTAAGACAAAAAAAAGTGCAACGCTACTGCGCTAACAATAAAAATTAAATTTGAAGAAAATTATAAGATTTAAAGCGGTGTAGACAACAACACAACTAGTGAAAATGGCAACACTGTGCTGGATAAAACGCGCCAACTGGTTTAAGCGAGGTCAAGCTCGCCAATATTCCTTTGGCACGTGCATCACGCTGTTGCCATTTTCACTCACCGTAACTTCGGTAGTAACATGTATATTGTAGCTCTCTGATCCTCACCAAGTGAAACTACCGTAGTATCTGAATTAAACATCGTTTCGTAACAATGAAATTGAATACATCCGGCCTGGACAGACTTTCATACATTTAAAGTTGGCCGAAGCGCCTTCCAGATAGTGTAGGTATGCCGTTGAAGGAGGTTGAGGCATCGTTAAAGCTGAGCTCATACATTTTGATGACGTATTTAACCTCGAACTCACATCGGAAGTATTCGATATCACCGACGATGGTGCAGTCGATGTGTTTTGATGCTTGACATGAAAAACTAGAAGCAATCAAGTTTCTTAGTAAAGTAACCAGCGCCTTGTTATGAGAAGTGGGGGTGTCAAATTTAACCGGACGAATGACTATGGTTGCTTGATAGTGACATCTACTACCAAGTTGGGACTTCCCTTTACGGAGCGAACAGGTCAGGCAATAATAAGTAGTAACATATATATCCAAGCTTTAAAATAACCAGAACATTAGGTTCCAAAAAGCAATAAATGAATCTGTATGACCCTGCCACCTGCCCCTCCCACAATCCACTCCTACGTCAAAACGTATGATGTACTAAGACGATGTGAGTATCTAAAGCAGCCGTCGCCAGGTGTCAAGGTTAACCTAGATTATAGAGCCGCATTTGAAAAATCGAAAATGATTCCTAGAGCAATAACGTGGTTATCGATTTGAAATGAGCCGCCGTCCTCGATGTTTTTCTCCATCATACGTTTGTTTATATGAACAAACTCGTGTTTTTGAATCAAATAGCGATAACTTCAAGCAGTATATATATATATATATATATATATATATATGAAAAATTAAAGCTTTCGCCTTTTGTTGGGTACTTCGACAAAATTTAAGCAAAGAGGACTCTTTATACTTTTTTAATTCTCTCTAGCTTTCAATGGACTTTGCCATCATCATCAGGAGCTGTAATTACAATGATAATAGTAGCAACAATAGTGTAAAATGAATTTAAATTGACTCAACTTACAGTAGTATGTGAGGATGTTGCTAATTGTTGTTTACGTATAGGATGAGGGAAACGTCCAGTAACATGGTGAGAGCTGGATAGATGGTACAATGGTCAAAATTATTTAAAAACATTAAAGCATTACATCGTGAAGCCACGTGATGATTGCACAAAATGATGGTCATGGAATAATGAGTGAGATGAACCCTTTGACAGAAGGCCGAAGGTTGTCAATGTCTGTGTAGAAAGATGGAACGAATTGTGGGCGTGTGCCAACGTTGCCAAATTACTTCAGTTGATGTGATTTTCAGAATGTTATGTAAGAAATTGTTAAACCGACCAGAGGCAGTTGAATAAACTATATTTTAATTAATGGGAAATTAAATTAACAATTATTATTAAATCGTGAGAAGAGAATTATTAGAATTTGAGTGGAATGCAATTTACTGGTGGAATCGACCAAGATACAGATTCTATTTATGGTTGTGAAGAGTCAAAATTTGGGGAGATATGTAAGTTCTCCAATTTTTCGCAGTTTAGCAAATATGAGTAAATGACACTCAGTTGTTTAACATCTGTCTTTTTGTTGATACAGTTGTTATTCATGAAAATGTGGGACATTTCCAGGAATAAACGTTTGGAAAGGTGTTTTTCTTTATCAAGAACTTTGATACTTGTGTAATTCATAGAATGCCCTGTTGTGTTAACATGAGATGCTAGAGCGCATCTTTCAGGATGAAGCCTAGAATCACTTTTGTGTGATGTAATCCTTCCTTTAAGAGATCTGGAGGTCTGACCTATGTATATTTGGTTGCAGTTGTTGCAAGTTATGGAGTAGATAGACTGTATTGGTTAAGCCAAGCAGCGGGACTTTGTCTTTCATTTTTGAAAAAATGCAGTTTATAGTGAGGACGGATTTGCAAGCAATTCGAAAGTTCAAAGGACTGCACAATCTGATCAGCTTAGGGGTCAGTTCCTTGATATAGGGCAGGACAGCAAAACCAGGTCTGGAGTCCGGGTTGGTGCTTGTACTGTTTGGATTGATGCTATTGTTGGGAATTACATCAGTTCCGTTATTAGCTCCTGATGATGATGGCAAAGTCCGTTGAAAGCTAGAGAGAATTAAAAAAGTATAAAGAGTCCTCTTTGCTTAAATTTTGTCGAAGTACCCAACAAAAGGCGGAAGCTTTAATTTTTCACCTAACTGGTCTAGACGACAATGACCACGTCTCAAGATATATATATATACAATAGGAAAGTCTCAACTTTTTTAACACCCATATTAGGCCCGTAAGTCACGATAAAAATTTTGACATTTGTTGTACAGAGAACTCAAATATTTCTTATCCTGATTCTTGTCAACGGCATTGGATGAAAATTTTGAGCTTGACATACGGGCTTTAGACCCAATAAAAGAAATCAGTCGCTTCCAATCGCCACACGATATAATCAATTTAGTTACTTTAGCTTTATTGCAGCGGAATAATGTTTAATTCATTTGCTTTCTTTTTCAGGTGAGTGATAATGCTTGATGTATCGTCTTTGGGAACTCTCTCGTGAAACGGTAAGTTCAGAAAATTTAGGTGTTGTTTCGATTTCAAACTTAGTTACTTAATTTAGTATACAGTTAATTCTAAACAACTAACTACGTTCGGGAAAACCGTCATGATGAATATACAATATATCTACTGTAATAATTAAAGAATACGGTACCAATCTCTTGGATGCGTACATACAAAAATAATGCTTCGAGCTCATACCGAGTGTTTCAAATTTGACCCTCACCATTGAGATCTCGGGAATGATAGAGATAAGAACACCACTGAAAGAAGGTGCATATAGGTAACTAGGAAGTTGGCAGTTAGAAAGGATCACAATTTAGAGACAGACGAAAAGAAAAAGAATTTTCCCAAAAGCATTCATTGTTTCTTGATTGTGGTATTTTAAAATGGATTGCACACTAGCATTGCTATCTTTTTTCATCTACAAGGTGGCATAATTAAAATATGATGTTTCGCCATTTGACCTCAATCATCAAGTTTATTTTTTCTCTGGGACGGCATATTGGAATCTTAATTCTCATTCCATAAATGTATATATATACGTCATTCAGTGATATTACCAGACTAGTGTTTTCATATTTGGTCATCAAAATGATAGTTTCTTACATATTTAATCAACTACATCACCAACTGAAGGTTGCTTTCGAGAAGCGTGCCTAAAAGGCTATAACAAACGTCATTTCGACACGATGGATGACACTTCAGCCGTAGATGAACGTCATATTGTTAAGTTGCAAGCTGGCATCATTCTTTCAAGGCGTGTGTCAACCCCACGTACTCAAATGTTTTTACAAATAGTTTTAGACACATCATGATCCTCTCGCGATAGAACGGCTATGTATGGCCACCTTGTACCATTGCTTCAATTATTCTCCTAGTAGTGCCTACCAATAGAAGTTGGCGACCAGCATAGCAGCTTATTTTGTTTACAGTCTGTCAGTTGTTATTGTTCTTAATCCAGGATACGCGGCGGCGTCCTGGCCCCTATTCCTTTCTACTTTTCCTTGCGATATGAGTCGGAGATTAGTGTATTTATCGGTGTTGCCCATTGTATGTCCAAAGTACGATAATTTCTCATTCCATTCCATTAGTAGTATGATAAACCCAGGGTATCCTCAATATGCGACAAAAACACTGGATTTTAGAAGCTTGCAGCCCATACATAAGGACGGAAAACTCTAGCATTTTAGGATACAGTGCCGCAGATAGAGATTTAATGTTAAAATACACACACACAGAGAGAGAGCATTTAATTTCATATGTTTCCAACTGCCTGTGATTTCATATCCCAGATATGAGTTAGTCAGTTCTTCTCAGTACATAGTTTTCCTCCATAAAATTTGCACCTGTTTCTCTATTTTGACTCATGGCCATAGTTTTCGTTTTCTTACCATTAAATTTCATTCCAAATTTTTCACCGATATCAACTACTTGATCAAGAAGTCTTTGTAATCCTATCCACTATAATAACCGTATCGTATACTATTCGTCATTGTCTGTCAGAGCGGTCCGTAGGACCTTTGCTCTTGGTTGAAGTCTTGTAAGTCAGCAGATCTGTCAGGTCTGGTTGCGCAGATACCAAACAAAGTCAGTTAAAAAGAAGGGAAGAAGAAAGCAAGGAAGGAAGGAGGGAGAGCAAAGAAAAAAGAAGTGCATCAATTTGAGGGGTGCCTTGGCATTGCTAGTTAGTATTCGGCAATTTTAAATTGATCCTAAAATTAATTTTGGAATTGGTTGTTGAAGAAAAAATTTAATTTTGGTTGGACCTAAAGTCGCACGATTTAGTTTTGTTCAGGTCTCGTTGGAAACATACCACGGGGCGTTAGTGATTGTACTCAACGTTCTGTTCTGCAAAACCTGCAGGCTACGCAAATGCGTTTTGGCGAGAAAACACCAAGCCGCACTTGCGTAAGTGATCGCTGGTCTAATAACCATCTTGTATAGCCGAACTTTGTTGATCAAACTTAATTTTGATGTTCTACATAGCATAGGGTAGAGTTGCCGAAACGAGATTTGGAATTTAGTTTTTAATGCTTCAGTGTGCTTCTGCCAGGTTATCCCCTTGTGAAGAGTGGCACCGAGATACTTAGCAGAGCTTTCCCATGGTACCCGAGCTCCATTCACTGAAACCTCAGACGAGGCGCCGCTACGTTTTTTAGTACAATAGATTGCCTGCGTTTTCGAATGATTAATTTTGATCAGCCACCGATTCGCCCATTCCAATACCTCGTCCACTGCACTTTGCAGCCTGTCGTGAACTAGATCCCCAGAGCCCGACTGGGCCACCAGGGCAGTGTCATCAGCATAGAGATAGGTTTCACAGCTGCTGGGGCAAGGGACGTCATGAATAAAAAGTGAATAAAGGACTGGTCCAAGAAGAGAACCCTGAGGGACACCGGCTTTGATGGGCCGTGTTTTCGACGGAACGCTATTAATTTTGATCCGAAATTTCCTACCGTCGAGAAAGGATTTCAAAAGTTTTAAGAGCCAGAAGGGGCAGCCCTTATGGATCAA